GAAAGCGTAATGACGACGGTTGTAGCCGAGAGATTGCGCTCTCGAGGAACGGGACTCTTGTTAGAACGCGTTGTTTCCAACAGAGGACCCCTTCACGCGGTCATCGTGTTCTCGAGCAGACTTTTTCACTTTTTCTTCATCGAGGATTCAGGAATTTTGCAGTGATTTACGTTTGTCTGCCTGGTTTATGATTTTGGATTATTTTCTGTTTCTTGATATTAGCTTGGAATTAAGTGGAAGGTTTTGCGAGCCTTGATTTGTATCGTTGGGTCACAGGTGATGACGAAGCTTGGAATTATCGTACTTTTTATTCTTCGAGGGAATGTTAATTTATAGGTTATGATTTTGGTTACAGTTTCTTTCGATACAGGGATCTTTTTGGTACAGTGATTGGGTTTGGGTTACGTTCTATTATTGTGCTTTTGAATTATCGTACATTTTATTCTTCGAGGGAATGTTAATTTATAGGTTATGATTTTGGTTACAGTTTGTTTCGATACAGAGATCTTTTTGGTACAGTGATTGGGTTTGGGTTAGGTTGCATTATTGTGCTTTTGAATTATCGTACTTTTTATTCTTCGAGGGAATGTTAATTTATAGGTTATGATTTTGGTTACAGTTTGTTTCGATACAGGGATCTTTTTGGTACAGTGATTGGGTTTGGGTTAGGTTATATTATTGTGCTTTTGAATTATTGTACTTTTTATTCTTCGAGGGAATGTTAATTTATAGGTTATGATTTTGGTTACAGTTTCTTTCGATACAGGGATCTTTTTGGTACAGTGATTGGGTTTGGGTTACGTTCTATTATTGTGCTTTTGAATTATCGTACATTTTATTCTTCGAGGGAATGTTAATTTATAGGTTATGATTTTGGTTACAGTTTGTTTCGATACAGGGATCTTTTTGGTACAGTGATTGGGTTTGGGTTACGTTGTATTATTGTGCTTTTTATTCTTCGAGGGAATGTTAATTTATAGGTTATGATTTTGGTTACAGTTTGTTTCGATACAGGGATCTTTTTGGTACAGTGATTGGGTTTGGGTTAGGTTATATTATTGTGCTTTTGAATTATTGTACTTTTTATTCTTCGAGGGAATGTTAATTTATAGGTTATGATTTTGGTTACAGTTTCTTTCGATACAGGGATCTTTTTGGTACAGTGATTGGGTTTGGGTTACGTTCTATTATTGTGCTTTTGAATTATCGTACATTTTATTCTTCGAGGGAATGTTAATTTATAGGTTATGATTTTGGTTACAGTTTGTTTCGATACAGGGATCTTTTTGGTACAGTGATTGGGTTTGGGTTACGTTGTATTATTGTACTTTTTATTCTTCGAGGGAATGTTAATTTATAGTTTGTGATTTTGGTTACAATTTATTTCGATACTTTTTGGATCATTGATCGAGTTTGGGTTAGATTGTATCGTTTTCAGAGGCACATCAATAATTTTAGTTTTATTTTCTTGCTTTAAATTTTGTGACGTCACTACAATTATTTTTCAGAAGTCTGAGTAAAATATACACAGCCTGAGAAAATGGATCAAAATATTATAATTTATTCAGTAATTCAATTTTATTTTGGAATTAGCAATACATGCCTTTCTGGCATTGAAAATTGAAGACAAATCACGTTAAGTTATTCAAAATTATCTATAATAAATTCTATCAAGTCAAGAATTTTAAATCATTTTATTAATGTCACCATTATTAATAATAATTTCCCCTCCTTAAATTAAATTTTGACCTAAAATATTATTTGAGTCCTCAGAAACAAAACTTCAGAATTTATAGATGCTTATAAATTGAAAATTTCATCTAATATTATTAGTATTCCTATATTTTAACTTCATAAAAGTATACACAATTATACTAATTATATTAATACAAAAAATAAAATTTTTCTCTGTCTTTTTCCCAAATTTTTGGCTTCAATGGCACACCTAGTGATTTCAAACTTTTAATAGCATCTCCAGTGCAAAAGTATCATATCGATAAAAGCTGAAAATGGCTAT